CTAAAATTGCAACAGCAAAAACAGCAGAGAGGAAACAGGCAGGGACATCTAATTACCTCTTAAGAAGAGTTTACTCCAGGCACAGTCAGCCCATTGTATGCTAATCAAGGTGGTCAGTTGAAATATTCACACCTAGCCCAGCAGACAAGAGTTCTTTGTCCCACCCTGGTCATTCCACAGATATATAAACCCTTTTTCCTAGTTCCAACAGACCTCACTACCTCTGAGGATGCTTGCCATAGATGCAGGCGAAACGTCAGGAGAAATGCCTCTAGAACATGGCCATATAGCCCGAAAAAACCCACAACAACTTAGTGATTCCAGCCATGAAAGCCTTCGACAACTATTTGTTTGTCACGCAAGTCAGATGTTCCCACCTCAACATCTTTAAACTTATTCGCCCAATAACGCATAGTTTAATTCAACCCCTGTATTCTGTTGGGTGGAAGGCCCCTTAAATTGTGGGGTCACGTCACACAATTTAAGAAGCACTGCTCTAGCGTTCCTTACTAAAATATTTTAGCAGGGTCGTAAGGTAAATCGGTATTTCCATTATCCTATAACACACAGGATACAGAATTAGTGCTTGGCGAACATCACAGAAGTCAAAGCATTGCTGTCCTGAGACGAAAGCTGAAGGTCTTTCAGCTCACATCATCTGTTATTTTAACAACACTGTCATTGTTGTTGCTTTTCCATCAATGTGGAGAAAGAAAGATTCTTTCACAGCGAGGAAAACAAAGGAAAGTGCTCCACAGCATTGGCATGCTCCACATTCCAGTTCGGAACAAATTGAATTCTGCTCAGCATCTTGCTTAATCTCCCTTTGATTCTGCTATTATTAGATCGCTTCATCATCTGGGTTCCTGAAATGGTAACTTTTCTGCTCACATACTCAGAAAATGCATTACATCAGCGGATGCTTCTTCCCATATTAAACGAATGGATTTTGCTACATTTTTGAACTTGGCCATCACCTCCTCCAGCGGTGGCAGGCAGTTCCAGGGATCAGCAGGGCCAAGTACATTCAGTAGCTCCACGCAAAGTTTGCTTATTTTTCCTGGTTTACTTTAGCTTTTGAGCTACAGGTCTAGCCTTCTGCTCCAAGCCTTTTTAACCAGCCTGGCTGGTTTAACCAGCTTCTGCAGATAGCGAGGCAGAATCCAGCAAAAGCCAAGCTTTTTTGGTATCTGCCCCAGTCCAGTCCATAGCAGAACTGGAAGCCCATCTCCCCACTAATACAACACACAGTATGC